TTATAAAGGCTTTGAGTCAAACAGCTACAAGGAGATGCTCAAAGACAACCTCAGAGAGAAAACACAAAGAGATGGAACATCACACATTTCCCCCATGTTAAAGTTTATAAAAAGAGAGTAGAGTTCAAAGTGCTGTATAATGGGAGGTAAGTAATCTTGATCCTTTAATCTTCCATGTTTCCAGCAAAAGGATGGAATATTCTGCTTTCCTCTGGTGTCTGAACACATGTGTTTAAGAAGGTTTTTTGGCAGGTCCACACATCTTTGCACCAGTGCTAGTGCAAGAAAGACTGCATGAAGGAAGAGCAGCAGGGCAGGCTGGGACTGGGGCTCAGACAGCAGTGGATGCAAGCACCGACAAGCTTCGACTGGACAGCGAAGGAGAAACCTGTCAGGATGCTAAGCAGGGATGGATAGAAGGTCAGACCAGAGAAAAACTCCTCATTTTGACAGTTTTTAAACAAAAATAAAATTGCTTGCAGTATATTACTTTACTTTTGCTTTGTTGTTGTTGTTAAAAGTGACTGACAGGCCTCTTCCAGCTTTGCTTTGTGGCTTTGGATGATTCATTAAACCCTTCTTTGTCTTGTTTTCCCTTCTTGTATAAAGAAGAAAGTTGCACAGAAACTCTGTTAATGACTCTGTGTGCTTCCTGTCCTTCCCTCTGAAGCTGTCATCCCACAGAGGAGCAGCACGTCAACAGAAACATGCCCATGACTCTACTGGCCCCACAACTCCTGCTATTAGGCTTCTAATCGCTTGCATACTACTGTGTATTTGAACAAAGATGCGCAGGAAATGTTTTTCCCAGCTAGAGTAACATTTTGTTCCCATTCTGTATGTGAGCCAAATGGCGTTTTGTTGAGGCCTTATTTTCTGTTTTTTTCAAAACAAAGGAATAAATAAGCAAACATGTCTGCAAGAAGCTGAATGAAACAATCAAAGGACAGCCAATGGACTTGTTGCACCAAGGACTCCTGCAAGATGTGAGAGTACAGCTTTTGGACCTAATTCAGGCTAATGTCTTAAAACCAGACCTGGTACACACAGATCACCAAGTTGCAGGCAAGGCTGGGATGGTGCTTTCTTTCCCTAGAAACTGCATCCCTACCAAAAGTTATTCCAAACTGAGACTTCCCACAGAAGCTGTTTTGATAACATGCCATTTTCCAATGAAAAATATTTTCATCAAAAAGTTCCCCACCCTCTTTTCTCACAGACTGCCAATGTTAACTTGGCTTTTGATTCCCAAGAGACTAGAGGATGTGTGTCTATAAAAGACAGTCTGACCAGATTGTGGAGAGAGGCACATCCAGCTATGACTTTGTAGCTCTGCTCAGGACTAAGGCAGCTACCACTGGCAATGCTACCATCTTCGCAAGGGGATGTGGGATTTGGGATGGACTATGTATCCTGCCAAGTAATGGATTTGTTTACTGGCTTGGGACCCATATATAGCCAGCACCTTGCCTGTCTTGGAGGTCAGCATATGCCTCCAAAGCACCCTATACATTAAAAAAAAAACCAGCTGAATTAATGGGACATGCACTGTTTTATCCCAGAACAATGCAGTCAACTGGAAGGCACATCCTGCCTGTTCCATCACCTCTTCTGGGGGCTTGAATTTACAGGACATGGAAAGCTGTCCATCCAAAGAGTGATCTAGGTCCTCTTAGGAAAATGATAAAGAACTTGATACAGCACACTGCAATGACAATTTACTGGCTTGCCAATTTACTGTCCTTAAAAGAGGTAGTCAGTACCCTTCTCCTCACCTACCAAAGGTAACTCACACAAAAAAAATGTCTTTAAATCCATTATCACATTCTGCTTGCTTCTCTTTCTGCAGGCAAAGCTCAGTGCTGGAAGCCCAAGCTGGTGCTCACTAGCATAGCACACAGTTGTGAATACCAACTCTCTCCAACTGAAAGGGCATGAGCTGCTTTGAAGAATACATCCAATTTGCAGAACATGCCTCTGGTCAGGACTGTTTCCCTCAAGCTGACAGGAAAGGCTGTCCTGGCGTCCAAGTGCCTCTACCTGAAGACACAGGGCAAAATTAGCCATCTAAGATTTAGGCTTATAGGCTAAACTTGTCTCTTCCTTCTGCTATTGTTGAGGTTCGCCAAGATGGGGTGCGTCAGAAGAGCCTATCTCAGCAGTCACTAAGCAGGGCAGCCTAGATGACTAGCCCAGATTAGACACTTAATATTTGGACAGCTGTGTTTCAGTTAGACACATTTGACTAAGGCTAAACACAGCATGCAGTGGAGTATGTAATTCCAGGCTATGCTCTGATCAACAGCCATTCCCTCTGCTATGCTTCCTAGATACATGCTTACTTATGACGAACACTGAGAGGAGCAAGACAAAGCGAAGGAGTTCCCAGCTCTGGTATCAACCCCTGCTAAGGAGATAAAAGGTAAAAATTCATGTAATCCTCTATGTCAGGCTGATGTCATAAAGGATGGAAGATACTCCAAGGGCTGGCCAGACAAGACCCTGGGTCAGTCTCTAGTTAGCACAGGTCTTATAGACTACACTGCCTTGGTCCTACAGAACACATAGTGCTTCATGGTTCATGAGGCCATAGCCCTGATAATCCAGCCAAATTCTTACAGGTTATTGCTTTCCATCCCAGCTGTCTAGTATTTCCACCAGACAGTGCAATCTTGACTTCTATGTTACTATTATTTTAGTTAGTTATGGTCATACTGATACAACTGCCAGGTGCCTTTGCACTTCATTAGGAAGTGAAATTACCTTTTCTAGCCCTTCTTCAACTCCCAGGAGTATTGTGAGGCTAAGCTACTTTTTAATATTAGTAAGGTGCTTTGAGTTCCTCAGATAGAATTGTCACGGCAAAACAAGCTGTACAATTATGAAGAGGTTCTAGTCCAGTTAGCAAACCACTTTTCCCATCTGTCCATACAGAACATGCTGTTGTCTTAGGGAAATCTGCTATGCTTTGGAAAAGCTCTAACAGGTTGCTACAGGCATATGAAGATGCTCAGGAACAAAATGTGCCATTCTTACAAATGCATTTTTGATTTTGAATATTTTGAAGGAGAAAATAAAGAATTAAAAATAGTTCCCAGGACCATTTGGCCAAGTTCTCTGATCAAATCCCTTGCAAAACTACACAAAATAAGCATTTAATCTCCATTAAAAGATCAATGAAGTTTATCAACAGATAAAAGACTATCTGGGGCATTACACAAACACAACCTGATTGTTAGCAGCTGGTCAGTAACCTCCAATGAATTCTTAAACACCTGCCTGTAAGTCAAAAATAAACTACAATTAAGCTAGAATTTTCATTCTTCAGTTAAACTTCCTATAAGATTGGTCTTATATTATTTATTATCTATTATTGGTCTTATATTATCTATTATCCATTATCCATAACTATTCAGAAGTCTGTTACCACAACACAGATCTGGGGCGAGTTGTATGTTCTAAAAATTAATTTTAGGCACAGAAAATGCATTTGTCATCTGAAAAATGATCTGGGCATTGATATGAAAATTAAAAAAGCATTACCTGGTGACATCATGTGATGTTGAGCAAAGTGTTCCTGTGCATGAGAAATGATGCTTCTTGTTCATAAACCTGGAAATATCTGAGGCTATTCTATGTTCAATTTATTGTTTGAATTTTTGGACATTTCTACACCAGGTATCAATTCTGATATTCTGATATGCCCATGTTCCTTGCAGGATAACATGGATTTGTAACCCGCAGAACCATACCTATGTCTCACTTCGCTCTAATGCACTTTAATGTAGCATACATATTTGTTACATGCATTGAGAATTTAGAAACATACTAAAAAGAGTAGTGAAAAACTTCTTAATACCGCGATCAAAGTTCAGTTTCACTAAAACCCTTGATATATGTACAATATAAGGTCTAATGCACCTGCTCCTTTTGAAAATTAACTGAGCAAGAGTAACAAAAAAATGCAAACAAACCCTGTAGTTCAGCCATGGGGACTGACAGTGCTTTACTGTAAGGCTGTAAGAGGTCATTTAACTCCAGTGTCTCATTTGTGGCATTATTGGGAATGACAGTCTATGTGGGCAGCTGTAGAGCTTCCACCGCTCTCTCATTATCACTATAGCGTAGTGGTTTGTGTATGTTAAAGCCGTATAACTGGTATGTGCGTTGCAATAGCACAGAATAGCTCCCTCCCTGTCACCTGAGTGCCAGCTGCATTTCCAGAAGGGCCCCTTACATGTACCAGGACATCTCCCAGGACGCCTGGCACTAGCTAAGCAGTTTCTAACCCTCACAGCTGAGGCTGCACTGGCCCAGGAGGCACCTGTGGCTGAAGAAGCAGCCCTGAACCTGGAAAAGACTGTGCTCTCCCAGGGCCGAGGCGAAAGGGGAAGCTACCTGTGTGTCCCCTGCCAAAACCACGCTGTGCCCCACCATCACAGGAGTGCTCACCCCTGCTGAAATCCTGCCAGACATGGCAAGAGCAAGGGCATGCAGACAGGCTGGAAGCCTGATGTGTGGGTGGATCTGTCTACTCCCAAGAGCCTGGAGATAATGCTCAGGTGACACAGAAGCAGCTGCTATGAGAAACCCATGAGAGATCAGAGAGGCAGCTGTGCTATATAAATAATAACACCATTTAGGTTGCCTGAAATATCCTATTCAAACAAGAAACTTTTTCTGTGCCCCAAGAGCAAGGATTACACAGTGGTAGCTGCTGTGAGAAGGGAGGCAGCAGGGCAGGGAGGATGGAGGTGGCATTCCAGCAGTGTACACTGAGTGGCATAAAGAAAAACCCAAACTGCTAAATAACTAGGGGAAGGAGGGGAAAGACAGCGCTACTACAAGAGAGTCTGTTTCTCAGGTGGTGTCCCTCTGCACTCCCCCTCCCTGTGACCTGGCACCCGGAGCACCCGGAGCCGGGAGGGAGATGCCGACACCCTGGCCACCCTTCTGCCTTTGGGGGAAGCAGGGACAGGACTGGGGGAAGATGTTGCCACCTGATGAAGCTCATATAGCTTTGTCTTTGCAGGGACAACCGATACTGGGAGGCAGCGGGGGACAACCCGGTTCATTTCTTTGCCCCATCTCGGGCAGCAGCAACAGGAAATCCAGGAGCTCTGTGAAATGACAGGGAGGGAGAGAGAGTGAAGTCCCTTGCCTCGGCTGGTGACGTCTCTCCTTCCTCCTTTTTTTTTTTTTCCTGTCCCTATAAAGAATCTCGGGCTCGCATCAAACTTCCCAGCGAAAGCAAACCAAACCAAGAGGGGTGGGGGAAAAGGGAGAGAAAAACACCTAAGGCGGGATCTGGCCATGCCCAAGCCCCGCTGCCTGTCAGCTGCCTGCTCCAGGCGCTGCGGGGTGCCCCCCAGCAGGTAGCCAGGCTGGGGTACCTGGAAGCTCCCTCTCATCCTGCCTCGCAAACTCACTGAAGTTGAGAGATTTGTTCTTCCTCCTGATCTCTGCAGCACCTGCACCTCCCTGGATAAATACATCTAAGAGGAGGCTTTTCAGTTCAGCCACCTTATCCCAAACTCCAGGCGAAGGGCTGCTCGGAGCAGCGACTCACTGACTGGAGGAAACTTTTTGCCAAACTTTTCTGGTGCTTTGCTCTGCTTTATTGACCCCTTGAGTTCCTTTGCACCACCCAGACGGGCTGGGGAGCCTTCTCTGCTCAGGCAGAGTAACATCCCCCCCAGGCACCCCATGAACTACAAGAGTGGGAGGAAACAAGGAATAAATTTATCGTGAAGAGAGGGAAAAAAAACCCCAAAAGCCTAAAAACTTGCACCTCGAGAAGAAAGGAAGGAAAACAAAAACTGCAGCCCAAGGATAAAGCAGTGAATGGAAAGAACAATTTAACTGGGATCAACAAGTGGGAATTTCTGCACGCCGTGCTCGTCCCCTCCCCTCCCGCTCCAGCCCGAGGGCTGTCAGAAACTTATCGCTGGCAAGAAAACTTGTCCCCGTTTGCGGACTCCGGCGCCTCGCAAGGGATATAGCGGTCACCCGCTCCGGCGATGGGCCCCAGGCCGAGCGCCGCCCTGGCCGTCTACGCCCTTCAGGGGCTGTTCCTGGTGCACGGTAAGACCCGCTCACACCTGGGTTTGCTCCTTCTCCCCCCGCGCGGCTGAGTAACGGGAGCGCGGCGGGACCTGCCGTCCTCCCACCTGCGCCACGCCCGCGGGCCGCGCTGCTCCCCGCGGCTCCTGGGGCC